TTCAATCAAGAGTATGTTTAAAATGACCTTATCCTCCCTTGATGGCCATGTTCACTTTGTTGTCTATATTTCACTAAATCACAAGTGACATAACTCTAGCTTACATGTCCTGCAAAGCAGGTCCATGCCTTGTCCGTTTTGTCAAACTAAAAGCCAAATGGCTAATGTACACTATGATGCAAGCGTAGAATGCACATCTGCACACACACACACACACACACACACACACACACACACACACACACACACACACACACACACACACACACACACGTTTATGCAGAGTATGCACAGGCCAAGAAAGTATAGCTGCAGATTAAGGTTCACCAGGTTGAACCACTGGTAACTTAAATTTTCGAATATTGTTGTTGAAAAAGAGTTGCTCACCCACCAGCCTTATGCCTTTGGTTATGTGCTCAACCCAGGTACGCTCAAACCAGAATCAGCTGGGGGGGGGGTTTCTCCAGTGCGCTTTGTAATAGGTGCCACCTGTTTTCATGGTCCGCTTACTCCGGTTAGTGAAAATTAGACAAAATCAGGTAGTTTCTTTAAAAACCTTCTTGGCAGCTTTGATCAGCGTTAGATTAAGAAAATTAAAGCACAATGACAGGATGACAAAAAAAAAAAACAAAAACTGATGATGGTTTATTGTGTATTTGTTGGGGAAACTAATGAGAATTTGGTAGATAAAACTATCCCTCTGGTCCAATTAATAAAAGGACAGGGACAGCTTCGAATATAATTTGTGCTTATTTTAAAAATGGATGACCTCCAGCATATTATGTATGTGACCACTGGAAGTCTCCATCTCTAATTTTATCTGCTCCTTCTGTTATCAGACGCTCCCTGCCGCCTTTGTTTTCTGTCTCTAATCACAGTCTGCATGCTTTATGTGTGCGCTGATGCCGTCTTGCCCTCATCTGCGTACCTGACAGCACAGAGCTTTCTTTCATCTGCGCTTCCTCTGATGCATCCTTCCTTTGTCGTTTTGTACTTCCCTTTTCCTTCCTCTGATCTCTCTTTGTTCACCTTTCTTTGCGGCCCACGCAAACATTTTCTTTTGTATTGTCACCGTCTTGCTGCTCTTGCCCCCTCAGGTCACAAGTGTGTGTTGAGGTTTCAGAGGTTGCAATTTTCTATAGATAAACACCCTGTTTAGGAGGATTATCTGTGTTGTGCTAACAGTGTAAACCCAGGATTAGAGCTTGCTCTCCAGGGATACATAAGCATGGCTGAATATGTGTATCTGTTTATTTATGGCGTAGTCATATGTCAGCTTATCGGTTTGGGTCAGATCCTATTAATTCACCGCACGGATTTCCTTATTTGTATACCAAAGTCCTCCTTTGACCACGGTCTAGACCTCGTCAGCTGACTCCAGTTGAAGAGATCTAAACACCACATTACACAAAGACTGGCGGTTCATTATCTAATTATTATACTGATTGAGCACATGCATGAGAAAATGCATGCTGAAGTAATCAAATTTGGCCATTCATAGAAAGGCCTCACACGCAAAGACAAATAATGCCAGTGGACCTTAAGATAGACTTCAATAAAAAACTGAAGCAGGTGCTAAACTGAGCTGTCAAAAGTGTATACATACCTCTTGAACATTTCAAATCTGTCACATTACGACCAGAAACATCAATTTATTTTATTGGGACACATCAACATATCCGTACATTTATGAATAAAATACATCAGTGTGTTTTTATTGAGATTTCATCAGATAGAACAAAATCCACATGGTCAGTTTTCTGGTTTCTGGAGTTCAGAACTAATAGTTGTCCACCTGAACGTTTCTCCCAACAAAGCTGTGTATCTTTGGAGTCACCATGGGTCTCTTAGCTGTTCCTGCAGTTCATATTCTCCTTCGTACCCATATTTAAATTTTTAGATGATGTGTTGACCAACGCTCGTGCTTAAAGCTTGTAATATTATTTTAAAATCTAATCCTGCTTCAAACTTCTCCACACTTGGTCTTCAAGATGCTGCTTGCTCACTAATATGCTCTAACAAACTCTTATGGCTTTACATAACATCCGGATGATTCTTTTTACTTATTATTTGGTAACTCATGATTGCCATTAGTTGGAGTAGCTGGATTTTCATTAGGGGTGACAGATAAATGGGGGCTGAATAATATGCAATTTCTGAATTTTTGTGTGGAAAACAAAGCATTATTTTTATTCTACTTCATAACCAAGTTGTATTTTCTGTTAGTTTATGACACAGAATCCCTCTGGAACGCATCTGTTTGTGGTTGTAGCCTGGCTGAATGGGTATAACTACTGTTGCGAGGAGGCTGAGGTGCGAACCCTAAACTTTAGGAAGAGTTAATAAATCTGTAAAGCTCCAGCGACTGCTTAGCCAAACTGCAGGTAGGGTTGGAGGTGAAAAACCTTTAAAGAAATGAAAGCAGGGAAGGGAGTAAAGAGATGCTTCAGACGGCAAATGAGGACTTGAGGAGGTCAAGGGTCATCCCCCCCCAATGATACCTCCTGTGCCAGAGAGGTAGTCACGACCCGGTCAGCGGAGGTTCAGGTGTCAGTGAGAGACGACTGACTGACAAGCCGAGGCGGGAAGCCTCCTGTGCTCCATCCCGATTGGACCTTTCATCCTTCCTTCCCTCGCTCTCCCTGTCACTCCTCTATGACCCAAACCCTCCCTCGCTTCAGCTGCAGTGCTCTTCACTCTCCTTCGCTAACGCTCTTCACCAGCCCTGTCATCCCCTCATCCTTCCCCCTGTCCTTTCTCCACTCACCCTCTTTTTCACCCCAAAAGCTAAACATTACCACAGGGTTTCACTCAGCAGGCCGGGCTGAGCAGGAGAGCTCTCTGTGGGAGTGGAATTAGGCTTCACTTCACCGTCATACACTCACGGAAAAGCACACATGTAGAAACTGGCGAATGCAGGAGCAGAGGTCGTGGCCAGACAAACATGTAGCCAATCCTTCATAATGCCTGAACGTAAGAATGAAAATTTAAAGGAATGGTTTGTTTTCAACTCAAGCTATTTCTTTATAATTAACTGTGTATTAATTACTAAGAATTTAGTGGTTTAGTGATTTAGTGATGTGAAAAGGGATTTCCCCCTTACATATTTATTCTGTTTTTAGATTTGGTTGATTGCATTTTGTTAGAGAAATAGTTTTTGATTGTTTTCAGTTGAGATTAGTTGCAGTTACTGCTAGTCATAATTCCTCTAACTATGTTGGAAAGATGTGACATTGCAGTAAGATTGCAAAAATGTAAAAAAATAAATAAAAAAAACCTAAGTGATGGGAAGCTAATAGCATTTTTTACATGTGAATTAAATATTTTAATTATTTATTTTTTTAATTTCATTTATAGTTCAAAATGAGCATGTCACATATGATTACGAGCAAAATAAAAGGAGTAGAAGGAAGGGGGGAAAAATCTAAAGCAAATACAGCTTTTCAATTATTGACGCTTTAACATGAATATATATTTTTTTAATTTAACCAAGAACTTCCAAATAAGAAAATAATTCTCACATCAATAACTATTTAAGGTTAAAAACAATTTCAACATAAAAAAACACAACATATCAGCAAATCTATGTTTCCAAGTCAACATGCTTTATTCAAAGCAAAAAAATGAGATGTCATAAAAGTCTGCACCCAGGAGTTATTGGTTCTCTCTGAACAGGGTGGTGACCAGAGCTGATAGATAATTCACAGCTGACCACAGATCTCAGTAATGGTGTCACCTTATCAACCTCTGCTGATGGATGGGCAAAATGTGCCTATTACTTCTTTACATGGACAGCATGATTAATACAGCCTGTTTCAAAGTGAAAACTGAATAATATTCGAAAGTTTCTTCTAATGTAACAGTATCTTTAGGAAAGAAAACAGTTAAAATGTGCATAGTTCTCAATGCTAATTGCTAATGCTAATGACACGAGTCCATTGAAAAGGTTTTGCTGAAAGAAAAGCAAATCAATGCACTCGCCGAACAGAAATCAGAAGGTTTTGGCTCAGTTTAGCACAGTTGAGCGTGGAGGCAGTAGATTCAAAATGGGACACTTTTTTTATACATGTTTAGAGGAATAGACATGAATAAAACAAACTCTTTCAGTAAAATCTATAGATGCATTCAAGTACCCAGGTGCTCACACCCCGACTCGTTCAGTTTGAATAGCTAACAAACTCCCAGTAATGTCATGGGTCAAGATCTGTGTAATTCATCTCTTCAGCGATTCCTATATATTCCCATTGTGTCATAAACTGTCTCTATTCAATGGAAGTGCATTTCATTCACCCAAGAAAAAATAAATAGGCACCTTATCTTGTAATTATGAAATCTGGATTTTTATTTATTTATTTATTTATTTATTTATTTATTTATTTATTTTTTCAAAAAAAAAAAATTATCTCATGAGCACTGTCGACTTGGCGATGTTAGCCCACTTCTATAAAAGGATGTAACAGTTCAGCACTTCTGTTTTAAGTTGTGTTTCACTCCCAGACAAACCAAGCTTCGGCTGCCAGTAATTCTGCATGCGAGGTTACGCTTTAGAAAGTAGCCCTGACCCAATGCTACTGGGATTGGTTTCTGAACTGAAGCTGGTTGCATTGCATTATAAGTAGGATCAAACTGGGATGTATGGAATGCAATTGAATTTGAATCTGTCCTTATGATTGCGCTGCATTTCTCCTGATACGATTTATCTCTAGATATCTTATAAAGTGCCTTAAAAATGACATTTGTTGTCTATTTGCATCAGACAGACTGCTCGAACCATCCATCTAGTAAGAGTATTTTAAAAAAAAATAATTTATTGGATGGCTACTCTTTATTTTTCCTTGAGTAGAATTTTTGGGGTATTCTACCCATCTCTGTTCCTGACACAACATGTTGACGATGTACATTTTCCACATTCTGCTGTGCCGCACAAGCGATGCCTTACCTAACTTTCTCTCTCCACCTCATGTGGGAAAAAGACGTTTATATTCATAACCGTTTTCCAGTTTGCAGAGCGGAGCCCACCTCGGAGGCATACAGACGAGCTTCTCATCACTCCTAATGTCTCATCACCGTGTTGACTGGCGTGCCTGAGGACAGAAGACAGCGTGACATAGACACTGGCGGGTATGCATACGCAGACATACACTCTGACAGGTGCAGGCTGCCAGTCGGCTCTTCTTTGTTGCTTTTCATTAACTTGTCTAATAGAATCAAAGACTGTCAGCAGACGAGAATGACAGAAAAAGAAGGGAAGAGGGGAAACGGAAGAGGGAAAGATTGCTTACTTCTGTTTTTCTTTTCTTTTCCTTTTTTTTTTACAGTATATGACTGTTTCTGCAGCTGTCTAAATTAAACTCCTCTTTTCTTTTCCATATCATGTTGCATCTGTTATTGCTCCTGGATATCCTCAGGCTTTACAGGCATGCACAGGTATGCAGAAAAAAATATATATCAGGAGATAGAAAGTAGGAGGTATAGCAATAAAGGTACAAGTGCTTTGGGCAGAATACGCCTCTCACACTGTCAGCTCATCATCAGGAAGCGCTCTACATGAAAAAGTCATAAGGACTTTCAGTGAAATAAAATGTCAACAGAATGCTTTTATCTCTCGGTATAAACACCTATTTTATTTCTTTGCTATCCAGAGATGCGTCACTCTACTAAAGGTTAAAGGGAAGATATTCTAATCAGGGACTCTTTGCACAACAGCAGCTCAATAAGGTCAACTGGTGTCACAACATTCAGCGCGGAGGGAGGGATGTGTGTAAATACAAGTGCGTGTAGGGTTACTTTTTAGTCATCCTCTTGTTTGTTTTTCTGTTGCCGTAGCGGCCGATCCAAACGGCATCACCTTTAAGTCCTTACCTGCCTTTCCTCCCTGCAAGGTCTTATAATGAAATTGCCGTCGCTGTGTCATGAGGTCGCGTACGCATAAGCACGCATGTTGAGACACGCAGACTTAACTCTGAGTTGCATGTAAAGCTCCGGTGCCTGACGGGGCGATCCGCCAGCCAATTGGCTGTATTGATTATTGGGTCAGAGGAGGCCGGTGGAGCGGCAGCAGTAATTAGGGCTTTTTGGTGTGGATTAGCCGAGAGAAAAGGTCACCCACTCAACAACGGTGGCAGGACCACAGGCAGGGAAGGATTGGGGGCGGGGGGCGCGATGGGCGCTGTCCCCAAACATGACGACCACAACTTGTGATTGATAGGGAAGGAACAGTTTACATGTATATTTTGCCTCGCTAAAGTTCTCACACTTGAACATCCCTCACACTTTTTTAAAATTTTGGTCAAGTCACATATGTGATAATGTTAAATGTTGCCATTATTATTATTATTATTATTATTATTATTATTATTATTGGAGAGACATAAGCAAATGCTGAAGCAGTCAATGTTAACATCTTTCTGCTTTGGTTCACTGCAAACAGTTCCCAGATACAAAGACACTGAAAATAAATGAATAAACAGAACCTGTATGAGATTCTTTAAACTAAAATGCATAATGTGATCTAATGTGTTTTATTATTTTTCTTTAAATTTGCGATTTTGACTAAAAATTAAAAGAAACAAAATGTGGAGTGGCTATGTTGTGATTTTAAGTTTCCAGTTTTGGTTCTCATACTCTCCATAGAGAGTCTAGCCAGATTTACTGTAAAATTAAGCACAAGTTACACATTCGTCTACAGAAGACCATGTCCTGGTCAGTTCTTTTACTATCTCTTGATTTGTTGCAGTGGTGTTTGCTCTATGCCTGATTTCATTTAAAGAATTATAAAATATGTTCTCACGGAGCTGCTTCGTCCATATAGAAATCAGACAAATGAGACAACAAGTCAACCCTGCAATGAGTTAGCTGGGAGATCGAAGGTAGAGCAAAGTGTTGTTTCCACACAGAGCACAACTCATCCAATTTCCATAGTTTAGATTGACTTTTTTTTTTAGCAAAGAAAATATTTTTTAAAAGGAAACAAAATAACATAAACTTGAATTTTGAGATTTTTATCTGCTTCTTGAGATGTTTTATATGTTTCATACCTTTGCTTCTTTTGTCTTCAGACCCTCAAGTTGACCTCCCAGTGGTATGGCAGGTCTGAGTGCATCTTCGGAGGTCATGACCCCTCCACACCATGAGCAGGACAAACAGAACCGAGGAGCTCCAACAACACATGGAATGTTCCCTTTGTTTTGTTTCTGCTACACTAACCTTGCGAAAGAAATCAAGAAAATCCCCCTACTACTTTAATAAAATGTCTATATATATATGTGTGTTAGAATTGAGAAATTTTTGTGTTGTAAGAAATGGTAAAAAATCTCAGAAAAATGTTCTTTAAACTCAGCGTGTACTGCTGTTTGTCTCTGCAGTCGCTGTTTCACAAAGTGCTGGAAATGTGATTTATTTTTAAGATCTCGCTTGAACATATATTTGTTTTGTCATCCGCAATCACTTTGTCTGCATTATCTGTCCGTCCCTCACAATATATTATCACCCCGCAACTGGTTCAATGTGGAACCGATTGTTTCTGTAAAGCACAAACATAATAAAGTGTATGATTAAGAGGGTGTCTGCTTGTGAGCTTTTATTGGGTGTCAGCTCCCCTTCCTCCTCTGCTCCTCATGGCTCACGGTGAGAGAAGCAGCAGTGCTGGGGGAATTGGGAGGACTGGTTTTTGTGCAAAGCTGCAGCACTCCTAGTGGTGGAAACGCAGAAGAAATGCCTCATTTCTGCAAGGGCAACACAGATGCAGCAAGGAAAAGCCTTCAAATAAATTCATCTTTATTGGAGTGGCATAATCTTTACATTTAATTTTAAAAAAATGTAGTTGGGGGACAAAATAAGAAGAAATTGATGGTTCTGTTCAATTGTGTGAAACACATTTTGGAGGTCCTACAACAGCACAGCACTTCTTCATTAACTTTATAATTTCACAAGGTTGGGAAATTCAAAAAAAGAGTAACTTTTCTGTAGGATTTAGGTCTGTGGAGCCTCTGGTGTTGATTGATGCTGATGTCTGTGGTGACTTGGTTATTTGTTGTGGGTCAGTATCAGTTGAAAAACCCAACAATGACAGCTTTTCCAAATTTTGGGAGAAGCCATTATATTCTTTTGGAAAATATATTAGTACTTTAAAGAGTTAAGGATACCATGCATTCTGTTAATGATCCTATTAGCTTTCGAAAAAGAACATATCGTCAGATTCACAGATCCTCCACCGTGCTTAACACTGGGTGGGCATGAGATGTTTTTGTTTGTTTGTTTGTTTTTTTTTAACCTTTCGACACATGCCAAACAAATCCAGAGTGCTCTAATCTTGGTCTGATCTGAACCAAAAGCATTTAAACTCCAAGCTCAGTTTCCTAGCATGCCTCCCAGACACCTGGTTGGCATGGAGATAAAATCTAATGCAGGTTATGGACACTTGGTGAAGCTAAAATAACATTATTTTCTGCACTATCCTGCTCACCAACCGTGATTTTTTTTTTGGCCCTTATGGAGTAAATTCTTCAATTAAATATTTGATTCTTTTTTTTTTTTTTGAGCTGGGTTGTGCTGCTGCTATGAAAGATTAATTTAATTATTATTATTATTATTATTATTTATTTTTTTTACATATTTACCTGGGGTTCCTCTATGTGTCCAGCACAGCAGGAAGCCATGACCTTTGACTGAACTTCAGAAGTCGTAAATTACATATTTTTTTTTTTGTGTGCTAAGTTTCTGTATTGACAGTGACACTTACATGTTTATGTCACAATGATGGAGTCAGAGACACTGGAGGTATACGTGACTGTGTCTTCACACAACAACGTTGGTTAGTCACTCTGTATGTAAACCTCCGGAGAAATCTAACCGTGTTTTCACTTGCATATCCGGGCCCGGGTTTTGTTTGCTTGACCCTTTTTTATGTATGAAACAAAGTGCGTGATTTGTAAATGTCAGTGGAAAATGCGTGCCCACAGAAGCTCTGTAGAATTGTTGTGTGACAATAAGGAACATACATATCTGGAACCAGGCCGGAAACAAACACGTGAGGGCCAAACAAACAGTGAAGCCTACCAGTCACCAAACCAGACCGCGGCTGTCTTCCATCTTTAAAATGCGGTCAAGGTGGTTCAGCAATTGGTATCAATGAGATGCTTACATGTGCTTATGATAGTTATAAAAGTCCTGCTTACTTTGGGCAGGTGGAGCGATACAAAATAAACTGCAATATTGCTTTAAAACTAGAGTGCACAGGTGTGAATCTAAGGTTGGCTGCTTCTTGTGGCGATCAACAAACTTCGGTCATAATTCGGGCTATTAATTTGAAGATTTTTCTCGTTAGAATTGGTTGGGTTTCTTTAAGTTGGTTGGTTTTCAAACGCAGACCTAAATGTCAAGCCATAATATTTTAGTAGGGTTGAGGTCAGCGCCATTCCAGAACCTTAGCTTAAGTCCACTTCGTCCATTCCAAAACCAGTTTGAATGTGTGCTTGGGGTCATTTTCACCACTAGAGTTAGGACACCATGTCCTACATTTTTGCTACCCTCTTCAAATGAAATAACTTCTTGCCATTTATCAGTCCCTGACAAACATTGCCCCGCTGCACGTACAGCCCATTTCTAGTCACGCAGCAAAGCAATAAGATCAACTGGGCGTTGACTCAGTCCAGGCTTTTTCATTTCCTAACTTTCTGTCAGTTGTTGGTGGGCTTACTGTGTTTCCATGTTTCAGGGTCCAATTATGTTTCATCTTATATATATATATATATATATATATATATATATATATATATATATGGTGTCACATTTCCACTGAATACCCCCCTGAATTCCACCCCTACATGGTGGAATTCATGGTAGATGATGTGATGGTGAGCTGGCCCGGCTTCCCTGCATTAAAGCATTCCCTTACCATGACCTCCATGTTCCTGGAAAACCACCTCCTGGAATACAGTAGTTGGTTTCTGCAAACCATGTCCTCTGTTGTAGTTTACGAAATATTCAATCTTAAACTAATCTCTGCCAAGAACATTACTCCAGTGTTCTTTGTGTCAGTTCTCTCTCTCTGACTTTTATATTTAGCTAAAAAAAAGCAAAAGTTTCCTTCTGGCACACCCTCCAGAAAGTTAAACTTCCACACTCTCTTTTTTTTTTATTGTACAGGCATGGACTTTCATACCAACGGTATTATGTTTCAGCTATAAGTCACGTGATGAAGGTTTTTAGAGAGATTTTTTTTCTTGCGGTCTGCTGGTACGATTAGTGCTAGGGAATTTGTTTGGACAGCCAGACCAAGGTGTGACGGCAGCGGTTTTGAATGTTCTCCACGACTATGTTCTGTACAGTGGAAAGGCTACTTTAAATTATTTTTAATTTAAAGTGCTTGGAGTAAACCTCTTACCAGACTCAGAAAATACTCCAATTACCTTTCCAAAGGCCTCCTTCAATCGTACCACGATGCTCTGTTTAATTTGTGACAATCAGAATTCCAATAAACTAAATGAATGAGGTTTAATGAAGTCTAGCCTCCTTCAATATGTGACTTAACGATGGTCTAGTCATGTCTGCCTGAAGCGATAAGCCTGTGTGTGATTTTCACCATTTTAAAGGCGAATTTATTTCTCACAATTCTTAAAGATTGTGATAAAATTTTTATAGGATTTTAAAAATTATAGCAATTAACAGTACTTTTTTTTTATTAATCTATTGGTGATCCATCCAGGACGTACTCTACCTTTGCCCAATGGCAACTAAAGACATCGGTCACAGTGATGGGTGGATATATATATTTTTTTACATCCAAATATGACTAAAACCTTCAGGCTGTCGTTTTATGCACTAGTTTTTTTTTACTCTTTTGGTATAATTTTGATTCAAAATGGACCTTAAAAAAGTGGTTTCATTATAAGTGCAGGGCGAGGGGGTGTGAAGCTCAAATACATCTTCAAAACCATCAAAAGATATCCGCATCTGAATTATTTCTGGTGTACTTTTGATGTATACTTGGCAAAAATTGGCAATAAATCACAGTGACTGATAAATGACCAACAACATGTCATATTTTAAAACATTTCATTTATGGTTTCCACGATAAGGGTAGCATATTTTTTCTTCCTCATGCAGGAAGCAAACTCTGTAGCAGACCGTGACCCTTGTATATATCGTTAGCTCAAGCCATACGCAACAAATAGCAGGGAGGTTGGGGGGGGAATAGTCTCCCTGCAATATAGAGTTCACCACAGGGTTAAAAGTGTCACCACATACATCACAGCTGTAGCAGAACGGCACACACAGTTCCCATGGAGATCAGCCATGTTGTCCCCCTGCTGTGCGAAGCCAAAGAGAACTGGGTGGGTGCCAACATGCACGAAAAGGCAAAAAAGGATTGTAAACCCAGCCTTGTGTACGTTTATTTGACCAGGGGTGCACCCATTAATGGATGCATGTATGCCTTCCTTGTTTGATCTGACTATCTGCGGTCCCAGCTGTGGTCTCATCAGGAACGCTGTGCAACAATGGCTTGGCTGGCCGCTGTGAGAGCCGCGAAGTGTGATAAAACAGGCGAGATGACGGTGTCAGAAGCTCCATTGAGCATAATCAGGCGGTGGTGGATGGGCCGGGGTTCTTGGGCTTCGGGGGCCATAAGTCTGGCGATTAAACATGCATGTGGAAAATCCTTCATCTCGGGAGCGAAACAAAAGCCGCCCTGTCCTTCCCACGTGTTCTAACATCGCCGTAGAAAAAGCCTGTTTCCTTGGCAACCAAACTGGCTCTCTTTGTCACAGGAATGGGGAAGGAGGAGGTGAGAAGAAACGAGGAGGAAGAAGAAGAAACGGGAGGGGTGGCGGGATCGGAGCGGAGACATGACATGACACTACACTCGCTGACCTCTAGCTAACCTCTAGGTGAACATACCCTACTGGTTTCTTGGTTTCCAACTGTGATGCGTTGTTGAATCAACAAAGATCATTTCTATTGCCTAAAATAAAAGAAAAATGTGCAGGTGCATTTTTCTTAGTAAAGTTTCACAACATAGTTTATGAAAGCAAATCTTTAAGGCTCATTAGGGATCACAAACTGTGCTGGAAACCAAATAAATTATATTAGGACAAATATGTCAAAGTCTGTTGCAATAGCACATAGAGTCAAAAACATTGTCA